ATAGGAGACATGTACAGCGATCACCATGAAAGAAGTTGTGAAAGCTATCATAACATCAAAAAATTGGAAAGCAGCAGATCCAGATGGGATATTTTCAGAACAATTAAAAATGTCATTAACACGGCTAGCGGAAAAATGGACAAATCTAAAGAACAAATGTCTAGAAGGTACAATACCAGAAGAATGGTGCACAGCCACAATCAAACTAATGTACTAAGGAAAAGGTGATACAAGTACACCAGATGCATATCGCGGAATAGCACAAGAAGCAACAACATTCAAAAGATTTACAATACTGATTGAAGGAAAGCTAAAGTGAGTAATAGAACCAATACTTACCAAAGATCAATTTCGACTCATGGAAGGACGCTCTATAATAATCGAAAATGATTCAAATAACAAGAAAGGCATGGCTTACAAGGATAGTAACTAATATCTCCACTATTACATATGCGTACAATTCAATGCAACAACATCAAAAGAAATTGGACAAAGCATCTTAGTAGTACAAGGGGACCCTATAAGCACACTTCTATTCAATATAATGATGAATGATTTAGTAAATGCAACAAAGAAGGAAACAAAATGTGTGGAAACATACATATATGTGAATGAGGTAGCAATTGCATTAAGAAGTATAGAACTACAGAGAGCAGTAAATAACTTAAGTGAATGAACAGTCCAAAACAAACATGATATAAAAATAAAAACAACTGAATTCATCATATTTAGAAGAGGAGGAAAAAAATCTCTTTAAGAATTAATAACTTAAACGGAAATAGGTTAAAAATAATGAAGACACTTAGATACCTAGGACTAACAATACAAACTAATGGAAGCCTTTCAATGCCCCTAAATGAACAAATGGAAGCTGCCCCCAGCAGCAGAAGTGAGAGAAGAAGACACCAGAGAAAACAGGATTAAAACAGAAATGAAAGTGTTTGAGGTAAAAATACTTACGGCCACATATATAATCAGCTTAACTTGGCAACAATTAACAAAAAAACAGATGCAAATGTTAGAAATGTTAAAATCAACATAGAATGCTAGGTCAAAATATACGCCAACAACACTAGTGTATGTACTAATGAGGCAGACACAACTTATCAGCATTTAAAGTGCCAAACACTAGTCCCCATTATGAAAGCATCAGAAGCAGTGCTAAGGGAACGGAAGAAAGACTGAAATCTGGCAAGACTTCTACAGAACAGGCGCTATGATAAACCAAAATTGGCCACGTAGTGACACAACCGGCAGGGCATGGATTTAACGATAAAATATGTAAAACAAAGAGTTTCCATGACCCGTGTGAAAAATGCTGTAGTGAGTATGAAGAAATGTATGACAGATACCATCCTGTAAAGTGTACAAAGAGAGAAAAATCCATCTCAGAATATGCAAAAGAATAAATATTGACATGTTAACAAAAACAGATTTAACATTTTGTTGAAAATGTAATAAACAGAATATTTGTGTAAAGATTGAAAAAAGTAACAAAAAAATAAAATGCACAAAAAAGTAACAAAAAAATATTTGTAGTTTTTATCTTAAAGTAGCAGCATCATTGTAACATTACTGTGGTCCAGTACTAACTATAGTAAATATTTCCTTCCAAAACCTAGTGATACTCAAAGTCTGCAATAAGTGGATCAGTCACTAACTGGCAGTTAAGACTGAAAAGCTCCGAAAAAAATGGTGCATTGCTGGAACATAAGCCAACAATTCTAATAGGTCTCTAATCTAAGTAGGTTTCACTTGCTAATTCTGTTAGATTTATCTGCAAAATTTAATCGTTCCAATGTCAGTTTTTTGATCTCAATAGCCCTTTTATCCGTCCCATTTTTGATAATTAATTTTCCAAGATATTTAAATCGTTTAGCAACATTGACTTTCCCATAATTTGTTTTTACGGTTTTCTTGGTGTCTTTATGACCGTGTCATTATTTCAGTTTTATTAAAAGGAGATCTGCAAGCCCGACAGTAGAGGGTCCCTTTGTTTCAGCCTAGTATTTATTTGTACGATTTCAGCCTTGACTTATTATAACAATGGACAAATGGGTTAAATATTACTCAGGTATGTTTGAAGAGAATAGACATGAATTCAAGGAAGCTCTGAAAGAAACTAACAGACAATTGGATATTACACCTGCTGATGAGGTAGAAGAAAGAAGAAATAAGTTTCAATAAGATAAAGAACTCCACCAAAAAGATGAAAAATGGTAAATCTCCTGGCCCTGGAGGTATTCCTGTAGAACTATTGAAAAGTGCTACAAACAATGTATTATAAATACTAAATAATTTTTGCCTAGGGAATGGAAGCAAGCTTTTTTAACACAAATTCACAAGAAAGGACCAAAATCGGAGTGCAAAAATTATATAGGTATAAGTGTAACTTCAAATACAGGAAGACTGTATGGGCGAATTATAAAACAGAATTGAAAGGGAGTTTAATACAGAAGATGAGCAAAGTGGGTTGACAGCTGGTAGTTGTATCGATAACATCTTTACAATAAAGCAGGTGCTAGAAAAGAGATTAGCTAGGAATAGGGAGACTTACCTTGTATTTATAGATTTAGAAAAAACTTACGATACGGTCACATTAGGTTAACTCTTCCAAATTCTAGAAAAGGTTGGTATCAGCGCCCAATATATAAATGCAGTGAAAGATTGATATGAGAATCACGAAACAAAAATTAATGTAGGAAATGAGGTTTCCAACAAAATATACGGTAGTGGGATATAAGAAAAGAAATTATATACCTATAAATGGAGATCAGATAGAAGCATGCCATGAATTTAAATATTTGGGTGAAATTATTAGCAAAGTAGGAGATTCCAGGAAAAATATTGCTTCAAAAATTACACAAGGACGGCAAGCTTTTAGAAAGTTAACCTCGCTGCCCTGGGTAAAAGAAATATCCAAGTCTACCAAGAAAAGACTTTTCAACTCTATCATACAAAGTATAACATTGTATGGTGCAAAAACATGCGAACTAAGGAAAAGAGAAAGAGAGAAATTAATGAGCCTACAAATGGATTTTTTGAGAAGAAGTTGTGGAGTATCTAAAATGAAACATACTAGAAACGATGAAATTCATAAGCGAATGAAGGTTCAAAAATCAATAATAGATGAATTGGAAACACGAAGGCTGAAATGGTTCGGTCACGTGAAAAGGCTTGATTGTGGGAGATGGCCCAGAAAGGTATGCGAGTGGTTTCCTTTAGACAGAAGAAAAAGAGGTAGACCCAGAGAGGAATGGCAGACACAAATTTTTAACGATATGCAAAGAAGAGGACTAGAAGAGAATGACTGGAACGATAAAGTGGTATGGAGATTGGGATGCGAGAAAAGGCCACAAGAGCTGTAAAACACTCGCGAGAAGAAGAAGAAGAAGTTTATTTGGAAAGGCTTACTGACTTCATCTTGAAATTTAACATCGGAAATTATATTATTCAATGTAAGTTTTATTAAATTATAGTTATTTGATGAACCTAGTATTCCTTTAGTGTGACAATTAGAGTTTCTATCCATTGAATCATAAGCTTTTTAAAATCGATGAAAAAAATCAATGTATTCTTCAGCCTAGTACTATAAGATTTTTATATCAATTATAGACTGAGAATTTGTTTTGCACATTTAGAAATATTTTGGAAATTATTTTATAAGTTACTGATAACTGCGAGATCCTTACATAATTACTGACGTTAGTTTTTGGCCCTTTGTTATGTAATGGATGGATTAATGCGACAAGCGAATGGTTTTCTCAATCCAAATTTTTTGAAAGAAGTTGTTGCTATTACAAATTCATCACTTACAATCTTCCATAATTCTGCCATTATCCCATCTTTGCTTCGTAATTTTTTTTATCTACATCTGGTAGCGTAGAGTCAGAATTCTGTGGTGTAAATTGAAACCTTAGCTTTTCCTGTGAGTTTGTACAATTTAATAACATTTCAAAATACACAGCTAGAATATCAAACTTTCCCTGTTGTTCAATGCTAGTGTACCATCTTCCCTTTTGAAGTTAAGGCTCGGCATTGCATACCCAATGATTTCATTCAAACATTAGTTGTTGCATAGAATCAATATTTTTACCTTCACATAAAACAAAACAAACATTAAGAGACAGTAATGTTAATTTGAGAATTATGTGGAAAGTTCTACAATCAACTTATAAACACTATCTTTACAAACAAACAATGAATGTGATTGTTTCCAGATTCATGGCATTCTTTTCAGTCCCTATTTCCCACACGTTACTTATTTATTCTTTCTTGGATTTTGTTTCTTTTTTGTTCTAAATGTTAATATTTTGCTAATTTAGATATCAATTCTTGAAGCCACCCAGCAGTATTAATCTTAAAACAGTCCAGGGGGAACTTACACCAACAAGTCTTATTTCTGGTGATTTGTAAGAAATCAGCACTATATTATCCTCATCAGTTGAACAGAGTACTTGAATTGTACTACAGGAAATAAAGGTTATCAGGTTTCTATGGGTGAAGTCTACGTCGGCTTAGCTTGTCAACACAGGTCTGACATAGGTGGGTGCATGCGAGCTTTGCAACTTTAAATAGGTCCACGAGATAAAATAAATTTCTGAGAATTGGTAAAAAGCCCGCAATCATTTGACAAGAAATGGATTTTGTTGGTGATTAGGGGTAAGGTACTGAAAATCACAAGACTATACAACATTCTCAAACAGAACCATACAAGAAATAAGGCCCGAGGTCAAAATTCGTCCAAGTTACCCCTCCCGGGTCAGAGATAGCTCACCTCCGGGAAATACTTTACATCACTGCAATACGTGGCACCACAGAATTTGGTTTTCAAAAACTCTTGGTTAAACTGCTTTTGCAAGTATGTCCACTATTACTCCATTACAATACCATTATGTAACATACGACACTTTCACAGAAGAATTTACTTTCTACACAGATATAGTAACTAACAATCAAACATTCTTAAAAATAAATTAATATGAAATAATGGCACTCACTTCATCTATAATTTCTTTCTTTATTGAATACGGTACTGGGCTGGGCTCATCTTCAGCCTAGAAGCACAGGGCATATTAAAATGCATCAGCTAATAAAGAATTAAAAAACAATATCTCAAACAACAAACAAATCAAGTTAGTATTATTACTTAACCATTTTGGTAAATTATTTAATCTCACAAATTAATTATTAGACTAATAAGTATTTGTACAAGCATCTTCAGATAATTTCTGATAACTGTCACATTAGTAATGTTATATTCCTACCCCTTCTGGAATTTACAGTGGCTTTCAATAACCTCTTGTCCTACCGTAGTAGTAGTAGTAGTAGTAAATTCATTTTACATGTTTATGAAAGTACAATTAATAACAGATTTTTAGAATATCCATTTGATTATTAGTGAAAGATCTACCCGAAGAACCTGTGATCTTATGATAGAGTGGGAAAGAACTTAATAAAAACAGGAAGTTGCAAAAGAATTAATAGACAATACTAGAAGAAATGTTTAAGTGCAAATGTAATAAAATTGTTAAAGAGTCACTGAAGAGAAGAAAGTGCACACAACACAGGAACAAGTACAGAAACAAGCACAGAGTACAAAAGGCAACAGGAAGAGAAAACAAATGCCTATTGTTGAAGATGCTCGAAAGTAATGTGTGTAAAGCGTATGATTACTATCTCTGAAACATGCAGCATTAAAATTGTGAATAAGATATGGTACCTATGCACAATTGAAATTGTTAATGTAATTCAAAACATGTTTCTAGTATTGCCATTTATATTACCTCTTTCTAAAACCCGACATCTACTTAACAGTACTCACAAAAAGCACCAAAACTGCAATTACATTACATTACAACCAGAACAAAAAAAAAATACAATTTTCAAGAGTTTCTTTTTCGGTTGAACTGGTCCTTTATCACATTGGTGAAGATCGAAATTTTTAATTCATTTTCTGCTTCATAAATTGTGCGTTTCTCTTTTTTTTCACTCAGTCAACACAATTGTTTAGGTTAGGGTATTTAATTATGATCCACAAAAGCAATCTTTCGTACAAAGTTCAGAAGTATTCGTAAGGGTTAATTTACGATTTAAATATGAGACATACAAAAAACACTTACCTGTTCCATTTTAATTTTAATATCCTCTTCTATAACTATATTTGTCATTATGTACTATCACAAATTGCTTTTACCAGTTGTTATAATACTTGATAACACCCGTTGTTAGAGCAGGGGATGGGGTGATAAGTACCTTATATCTTACGCAGAGAGAAAATAATTCTCTACTTTTTACGGACTATACATAAGCCGTCAAGAAACATTATTTCTTCTTTCGGTGGCGCCACACTGATCTGTATAGATTTCTATTGGGCAAACAGACAACGAATAGCGTAGAAGTACCCGGTAAATTTGAAATAAACCAGCTACGCGGTAATTTTAACATTTCATTCGCGTACACGCCTTATTTTTAAAAAATTCACAATACTAATTATAAGGGTTTTATGAAAGAAAAAAATCAAATTGGGGCCAGTAAAGTCTAGTATTTATTGAACATATTTGTTTTACAACTTTACATTATTTATGTTTTACCCGATTTCATTAATATTACACAAAACAAAAAACTCGTATCATTCACATCATAGACATAGTTCAAATGCAACTTTTCTTGCTTGGAGGCATGCATGTGAATAATGTGATTACTATGGAAGAATTCCAGAAATTGTGCGATACTATACGCAGAGCACTAAGACAAAAGACCAGACAAGACACCCAACTAAAATTTTACAAAACTATGGCAGTCCCAATGCTAACTTATGGATGCGAAAATTGGACAGTCAATAGGTCAGACAGAAGAAAGATCGAAGCGGCAGAAATGAGATTACTGAGACTATTAGCAGGATATACACTACTAGATCATAAGAGAAATGAAGACATCAGAGGTGAACTACAGATCTCCAGCATACTGGAGAAGATAGACTCAACGAGGAACAATTGGCTCGAACACCTAAGCAGAATGCCACAAGAACGGCTACCCAAGACTATCCTTGAATACAAACCAATGGGAAACGACCCAGATGCAGACCCCACTCAAGATGGAAAGAGACTCTTGAGAGCGGAACGGGCCACTAGGCCCAAACCTAGTTGCTGCTGATGATTATGATGGAATACTACATTACTATAGAGCACTATACATGAACAAAATGAAATGTCGAAAAGTAACAAATACAAACATTAGGGCAAATTTGCCCGGTAAAACAAATAGTTATGATTCAATTGGTAAAAGTGTCATTTTATTTTCAGAGGTGAACAGGTAGCGACATGATGCCAACAGGTCAAGTGCTGTGGTCCTACGTTGAAAATAAAATCGCTTTCACCATGTATTTTTAAACAGTATTATTGCATTTCATTTTATTATAATAATATTAATAATAATAATATTAACAACATTCATAATAATAATAATGATATATTGAATTGCATATACAATTACAATCGTGTATGACAAGTCAACATGATTTCTTGGGTGGTGAGAGTGAAGTTACATTACTGTCCAGAAGCAAAACAAGAGGCCATCTCAGCATTTGCTCAAAAGACCAGGGAAACTGGAAAAAAATCCCTGATGGAGACAGGGTCATTAGCCTAGAAATTATACAATATTTGTATATTTTTAATGTGTATTTATTATCAAGATACTATGAACAACATAAAAATAGAAAGTTCAGAGTGATCTCTTTAGCTTGTTGCCATTTTGTTTCATTTATAATTAATTTGTTATTTTAGGTAATCATTTTATTTCTTTTTTCTTGTTGATTTGGCAGTAAAAGTTTTTAATACGTTAATTCTCATTTTTGTCTATTGTCAACTGCCATCTTGTTTTATTTATTTAAAATTTATTTGATATTTTAGATAATTATTTGATGATTTTGATTTATTTTGCCTGTTGAGTATTGTCATTACTTGATTTTATTTTGTTAATTATGTACAACTAAATCTTTTTCTTACTGATAACTGCTGTCCTAACAAGATTTGAATTTGTTAATTATGTATGATGTTCCTGTTGTTTCTTAATTTCTATTTTTGGCTATTACCTATTCTCATTCAGTTTTATTGACTGTTTATTTTAGATAATAATTTGATTATAATTTGTCAATTAGCAATTATGTCAATTGTTCACTGTAAAGACTAATTCCGCTTTAACCCTGGTTTGTAACGCAAAAGAAATCTGGTGAAGTCTTAAAAAATGAGTTGGGCCTTGTCCTCAGTTTGCAGAAATGTCAATATGCACTGGATCCCCTGAATATTGTACATTCATTCCATAGTTAAAAAATATATATTTGAATATATTTCATCGGTTTAAGGTAGGTAAATAATTAAAGTTTTCTTTATTTAATTGTAATAAAACCGAGACTTTTATTGTATTATAATCCCATCCTAGGTCACTTGCAACATGACAGGATATTGTGAATTTACTCCAGATTCCTTAAATTCCTTAAGTACTCTAAAAGGTCGGTACATTAAAAAACACCGCACAACATATTGAACGTACCTGATTAGTGGATAGGGTCTATTTATTTCCCCCATCATAGTACGCTTTAGTAATGTCGCCATCCGTTCGAGCGCAGCACTGTGCATACTCAAGTCACAAGAATCAACTCTTAGTTTGCTAACTGCTACGGGCTTTTTGGCTTACGTTGAGTTGTGGAATGAAGCAGTTTCTCAAGTATGCATTGTTAATTTTTTTCTTTTCTGCATCTCAATCGCATTAAAGTATCTTTTATTATGCCAAAAATCATTTAATTTTTATTCATATGTATTGTGAATGGTTCCGAGGCCTCAAAAGAGCTCCCAGGCAGAGAATTGATTTTAAGGTTTATGGTACAGCTGTTATCAGTTCAGTGACATGGAAGTGAACTTCAACACAAATATAGTTCAAATATATTTAGTACTCTTCTCATTTATCTATGTTCTGCAACATTCCTGTTTTACATGCTTAGGAACCATTGTTCTCTAAAGTGATTTTGTTACTTCCAAAGTTCTTAAATGGGTACGATTTCTAAAAAAAATTTCAAAGCGACAATGACTTCTGGCAAGTTGTAAAAGTCCTAGGGATATCAACTTTAGTAGAGTTATTTTCTTTTGTCATGCTCAAGTTTAGCACATCTGACGTCAAATAATTGTTTAGGACAGTTTTCTGTTTTGGTAGTGATGTTCATGGCAGTTATTTTCCCCATTATGGCATATGACGACAATATGTCCCCGAAACTGTTGCGCATTCGAGTAATTGTAACATAGAGATTTAACAAAACTAAATTGAGAAGAGTCGTGTCTGTCTATAAATCATATTGGGACTCCTTTCCTTCAACCTCAAATTTACAAGAGACAGGCTTATTCGTACCATTGCAAGAATATACACACGCTTTGAGTCCCGGCAGCGTGTTCAATCATCTATCTTAAATGTGTGTGTGTGGTTTACTGTTTATAAGTGTGTTTTGAGTGGGTGTCAAGGTTTTTATTTTTATTTTTACCTGTGTTTTCTATTCTGCTTGGCGTGGTAATTTACAACATGTTATCCAAACCACGGCTACCCCAGTGGGAGCGAGGGTTTAGACGAGGTTCCTCCTTCTTATCTGGCCTACAACCTGAGGCCAGTGCCAATGGATGCAGGTCAGTGCTTCCCAGACGAGGGTAGGAGCCCATATTAGGATTTTAAAAATCTGTAAAGAATATAATATTACCCCTCTATTTTAACCCAGAACAAACCTAAGATCAAGTTTCAGTCTAAGAAATATAAAAAACTTTCCATAACAAAATGTATAGTTTTTAGACAAACTTTGGGTTTGACTATAGCAGATAAGTTTTGCGAACTAGGTCGTCTTAGATTAACTGCAAACAAAATTAGAGATCAAATGGTCAATATGTTTTCGCCTTCGATGTTAAAAACTTTTTTTCTACGCAGAAGCTCAAGTTAGATCGTATTTTCCGCCTTGAGACCAATAAGGAAACTAGGAAAAAAAAAAAACGATGGCGCAGTCATTAAATGCACTAATGCATTGCAAAATTATATCTTGAAATCTGAACTCAATAAACTTTTCTATGGAAACGAAAAGATGCAAGATAGAGTAAAGGAGAACCCCCGAAATATTTCATTAGTTGTAATAACTGAAAATCAAAAGTACGTCAGAAACAAAGTCTTGCGGATACCAACTACACAAAATACGATTACCATAAATTCTCCTAAAATTAGTTTTTCAGTCGTACCTTGTAATTTTAGGAGGGGGCCTAAGAGGCCCCTGAAGTGTACGTGTAACATTCTTTTTCGGTGCATCACCGGGTTAAGTATATTATCATCCTCTACGTTCACGGCGTTATAGTTGTAAACCCGTGAAAATATTAATAGTATAGGTATTCTTCCAATTATTCATTATTAGAGCATAAACACTGAATTAACATACTAAAATATTAACAAAATATGAATACTTACTGTCAGAGAAACTGAAATTTTAAATGCCATGACACACAACCCTTTGCGTTCACGCAGTCGGGTAATAAAATTTGCATTTCACTGTTAAATTTATTTTGAAAGTTTTTCTTTGAGTAATTATTGTATATAAGTTGCAGATTTGAATACTAGATACTGAAGTTTGTATTTTGTCAGTTCACACTATTCTGTACATTGTTTTTAACTTATTTGTATAGGTTTGTGTTGATTAAATTTTAATGGTTATTTCTTACACAAAGTTATGTTTATTTACCTTGAAATAATTTAAAAATCATTACAAGATTGAACTGGCCATTTTCGGTTTAATACAGGATTATTTTTAGTTTAATCGTTTTTAAAAGTAATTGATCACAATTTTTGATTACATAATCATATAAAAATATTATTTTGAATGCTTCAGAACATACAGACGATCTTGAAGTGCCATTTACTAGTTTATAAACAGTTATGGAGATAGAAATGACTCTACATTCTTACATTTTACATGTACCACGTACATACCAATTTCAATTAATTTTGTTATTTAATTATACTCTACACTGAGGATGCAATAGTGGACAGCTACAGCAAAAGTTCACTTTGTCACGTGAAAGCGTTGCCAGTGCGATATCATCACGGACTTCCTACTGAAACGAAGAGAGCACGCGTCACAGCCAATTGGTTGATATCCCTTGTGCGAGAACTTGTGCACAGTGAGGTTACTTGATTCTGAAAAAGCTTTTCCACACACGTCGCATGAGTACGGTCGCTCTCCCGTGTGAGTGCGCATGTGCTTGGCGAGAGTTCCCGAGTCTTTGAAAGTATTTCCACACACATGACATGAATACGGCCGTTCTCCCGTGTGAGTGCGCTTGTGCAAGGTGAGATTGCTTGATCTTTTAAAACCATTTCCGCACACATCACATGAAAACGGCCGCTCACCCGTGTGAGTGCGCTTGTGCTCAGCCAGGGTGCCCGACTCCTTAAAAGACTTTCCGCACAGATCACATGAAAACGGCCTCTCTCCAGTGTGCGTACGTTTGTGCCTGGCGAGGTTACTTGAGCCACTAAAACCTTTTCCACACACATGGCATGCATACGGTCGTTCTCCCGTGTGAGTACGCTTGTGATTGACGAGAGCGCCCGATTCTTTGAAACGTTTGCCACACACATTACATGAAAACGGACACTCTCCTGTGTGAATGCGCTTGTGCTGGATGAGAGTGCCTAAAAATTTAAACCCTTTTCCACACACATTGCATGCATACGGGCGCTCTCCAGTGTGCGTGCGTTTGTGAATAGCGACATCGCTTGATCGAGTAAAAGGCTTTCCGCACACATCGCATGAAAACGGCCGCTCTCCAGTGTGTGTTCGCTTATGACAGATCAGACTGTTTGACCATCTGAAAGTTTTTCCGCAAACATCGCATACATATGGTCGCTCTCCAGTGTGTATGCGCTTATGGGTGATGAGATTGCGTAAGGAAGAGAAACCGTTCCCGCACACGTTGCATGAATGAGGCCCCGTCCTCGTGTTACTGCGTTTGTGAATAGCACGAGTAGCTGCCTTCACAAGTGGTTTTCTGGTCACGTCGGATGTTTGCGCGCGCTTTAGCTTCCCCTTGTGCCCGCGCTTGTGAAGGGCGACAGCTGCTGCGGTAGTGAAAGCCTTCCCGCACACGTCACACGGATGAGGCCTCTCCAACTTGTGCCGCTGCTTGTGAAGTGCGAGAGCCTTGGAATATTGGCGCTCTGCATCCAGCGTGGGAAGAGCAGGGTCGCTGGACGCGCTGGGAGATGCTCCGCAGACGCCGCGGCTGGCGCTCGTGCAAGGCCCCTGGCTTCGTGCTAACTTCATCGCCTGGTCCTCGTCCTCTGACGGCGGAGAGCCCTAGGCGCCTGTGAACGTGCGTAAAGCAATTTATCACCACGAAACAACTCCACACCAAAACCGGAAGCGGTCCACGGATTCGTATTGACAAGCCAACATTAAGGACAAAGGAGGTACAAATATTGTATTGTTAACAAATGGGGAGCAGAGCATGGTGGGTGTTCAGGCTGTGAAATACTCGTAAAATAACTCGGGAGAGCAATTAGCAGAAGCTGCAACGAAACATAGCCTCTTCTATCGATAGTTTTTCATCAGACAACAGTGTTCTGGAAAAGAAACGACGCACAATTGACAAAGATTGGTACTTGGAGAAAGAATCAAAGAGTATTAAAGAGATTGTCATGGTTACCTCTGTCCAGACGAAATCAAATATTTCGTTACGAATTGCGTCGTATTTATTGTAAGTAAGGCTGCAGAAAGGTTTCCTGGCACACCCTGAATCGAACCTTGTAAGCATCCAATACGTTTTTACAAAGCTTTCTGCACTTCGCCTCTGATGACAATGCGGGTTCGTGACGTCTAAAATGGAAATCGCTGGATTCTCAGAATTTTGACAATAGCATATGTTTTCGCACAAGGAGCTGATGCGATCTTTCGGTGACGCTCCAAACTAACAGTAAGCAATTTACAATTACGTCAAGGAACTTTATACAAAAGAAGGGAGTGTTTGGTCAACTGGGAAGAAATTTGCGCGGCTTCTTTGAGTATAATCCTTCTTCGAGGAACGTCAAAAGTGGATTATTCGAAACGAGGAGCCAAATTTGAAACAATTTGGTGGTCATTGTGCCAACAGTGGGTATCCGTGTAACTTCATTAGTAAAGGAAAGACAGACGGTAAAACATCCCGAAAAATTGAGAGTGGATATTAAAGCTCCATACATTACTTATCATCTAGATACGCTTACTACATTGCCTACTTTCTTACATTATTTAAAAAGTTTAAATTATTTAGAATCATACCAGTTAACCGCGCAAAAGTGTTGCCAACATGCAACAATAGTTGCTGTGGGAAGAATACTTAGAGTTTGCCACCGGAATCTACACATTATGTTGGCTATAACCGAGAACCTGCGCAGACGAGCAGAAGTTCAAGAACAATCCCCAAGCAGCGACATATTCCGAAGAGGAAACCAAACAATTGAAACTATATAGACGACATAAAACAAATTCACATCACCTGTCACTTCAAGATGCCACAACAACGAAACAAAGCTGGCAAAAAATTCTGCTCGTCCAGTTTGGAGATAAAAATCCGGAGCTCGCAAATTAATACCAGATATTTTCAAAACAAAGATGATTAGTGTTTATAGGCGATTCAATAGCTAAGATCATTGGGAACCATGTGACATTATTTTAAGAGCTGTACGCACTGTGGCAGAGGCCGACAAACAAAAAGGGAATAAAACTGAAAGAAAAAAAAACGTGTTCAATTACATAAAAAATGAGTGGCAAAATCAAGCCAGATAAGAACGTTAAAATTATCTCTACTAGTAACTTGTCATGGTTTTGACTGAAGGCGCCTTTTCTCTTGGTACATGACATGACAAATGAAAATCGGTCCTACGCCGTCGTCTGGCCAGGTGTTTGAGTGCATTCCAATGCCTCTTATGATTTCTTTAATGAATTGAGAGCTTTTGTTAACATTTGACGCGCATCGCTATATTAATATATATCATAATTTATTTTTGGGCACGCCGTTGGTGTGTTCGTGTGTCAGCGATTTTTTTAAATTACTTTAAATATTTTGTTTTGATGTTCAATTTTAAAGATTATGCACATTGTCTTTGTTTTCCCTGGTCGCTTGAGGTAAATGCTGGGACGTATTTTCTCCTTTCGCTTTTGTGAGCTCAAGGGCAAGAAATATCTAAGTTGTATTTTATTTTGTTTACTAAAGGTACTGTTCAATTTTTATCTATTACGTTGTTAGGCGTAATTTGTTAGTTATTACGTTGTCAGGTGGAAGAGCGGGCCTGTCCGCCCGAACGCCCCACATAAATGAAAGTCACTAGTAATATTATTACCTGTTCACAGACAGACGTTTTGCCGTCAACAGATTTTTCGGTTTGAATGACCCACAAAACATGGTTGCTGGTCACACAACGTGTTAGAGGGTGGTGTTCTAAATTTAGCATTTGAATTTGTCTACTTTTTCGTTGCCAGGGCCATGTAAAACGTTTTTCTAGGGAAAATTTCTGTGTACCTCGGTAACGAGAAAGTAAACTTGTGGAGCTACAGTAGCACGTACTTTCCAGCGATATTGTTTATGACTTTGTAATATTATAATCTAACAATTTGTGCCTTACACTTCAACGACTATTTGAAAAATTCTTAAACGCAGCGTGAATACATATATTTGTTTAATTAAAACGCATAAAAAACTTATTAACGTATTGCTCCAGCGCGCTCAACGCATCTTACGGAGTTAGATGCTTCGCGTCGATATATATGCAACAGATTCAAATAAGGATCGGCAATCAGTCGAGTGTGTCACCGCTTATCTACGACCCGGCTGCCTAGCGGCTAGCAAATTTACTGACGTTCAAGTTTTTTGCAAACGTTCAAGTTTTTTTTCTTCTTCTTCTTTTTTTCCCCTTCCTGGTTCGATTGTGCTCCTTGGCGTATGGGCCTCGGGCTTTAACATTTACACCTCAAACAAAAAGGCTTCTTTCACACTTCAAACGTAGCATGATGCAAAAAAAATATTACCACTCACCTGAAACATTGAACCCGTCCTCTAGTTTTATTGACGCAGTAGCAACACTATCACAGTCAGGAGCAAGAGGATCCTACAACAAAGGTGTTTATAAATTCACTGACAGCCGAAACAGCTTAAAAAATATTTTGTACTTCGCTCTATAATTCTACTATAAGTTCGGTTGACTTATAGCTGACTATTCATCGGTGTTATTTTTATAAAATCGGGAACAACTTGTTGTTCGAAGTATTGTCCTATCCTCTGTTATTAACATTTTCCAGTCAAAATTCATTTTAATCAGAAATTGGTCGTGGAGGTCGCATTTCCACCCTCTGTCGTGTTTTGCAGGAGAAGCCAGTCCGCCATATTGGTGTGCCCAAAACACGCCTATCGAACACGAGAACGTTCTAGTACGTTCCATGACTTTAATAGTCTTCGGAATATGGAAGAGTATAATAACTAAAATTGAGGCGCTTCGTTACAAATTATGTGGTCACTGAAAAGTATTTTCAAAGCGTGAAAACTAAAATAAACACAAAATTAAAACGTCAAGAATATCACATTACTAAATAAGCTTCTTCGATTTCTTAGATTTCTCACATGATTCTCACAACTTTATGCAAATAAATCAAAAATAAAGACTGCTAATATTCTGAAGGAGCATGTGATGCACAAATTATTACGACATACGAAATCGTATTCCTAGAAATACAGTTGTCACTATATTCGAGGTCTGTCTACCGTATTCAAAAACACGATTTAAAAGAAGTCTTACTGTACTCTTACGTATTTATTTCACCGTTCCCTTACTTAAACATTAAACAGTCTCGTGTAAAAAGAAAAGAGCAGGGTCCTGAATTTTGGGGCTTGTAAATAAACTAGAACTACAACTGATTTCTTTAAAGAAGGCGTAGATAACGCGGCGTCACCCGGACAGCCAAGATCATGCACATGACTCAGGCCGAGGAAGCCTACGACTTCAAATTTTAAAAAGTGGTAAAATAGCGGTTTGGCGAGCTGTATCCTGACTGCAACACCGTAACAAGCATCGAAATAAGATAGTATGAATCATGACCTATCCCAGCGTACGTGGTAAGTTATTTTGATATAAAATATATTTGTTTTATTTGTATAATTTTGAAGGGAATAAATAATTCCTGGTGAGTCATTTCATACAGACAACGTAAATGAAGAAAGGGTAATGATGCAATTGGATAACTCCTAGATGTATGCTTGCATTTGGAGCGTGTTTTACCTTCCATTTTCTTTGTTTTATAAAAAGTGGATTTTCTAGAAACAGTTATCTGTAGAAATTGCATCATACAAAAGCAGTTAGACGTGACTCTTTCGTGACATATCGGACGCAATGATATAAATAATATGGATCATTCAAACGAGTTTAAAAACGAAGGAAATCTTTTTCTGTATGATCTTAGGATATGCTTTACTCTAACACTTACGCGACGTAATGCAATCTACACAACTTTCCAGAGTAGATAGAAAATGAGGTTTCTTTGAATGTGAATTATTTTTGATAATCTTAAAGTATATGCTTACAGTAACAACATTTTTAAAATCCTTTTTTTCTTTTTCCGAGGGATGCCTTTTGCCGATTGACTGAATCACACGGTATTCATGCAATTGTGTTGTTATTTGCACAATCTCGGCTGTCTCCTTGCTTTGGTAATGGAATAATTAGTGCGTTGCAAATCTGTTGTTCACTGTTTTATTTTGGAGATCACATTGCATAATTGTGTTAGTTTCGCCAAGATTTCTTCCCCTGTATCTTTGAATAGTTCGATTGGAATATTATCTACAGCCGGGGAATTCCCATTTTTCAGTTGCTTTGTCGCCCAATTAATATCTTCGATCTCATGTTCTTATTCGTAATCATCTATATTTATACACTACTCTATTTGTAAGCCCTTATCATATAACTTATTCGTATTCTTCCCATCTTTTCGTGATCTCTTCTTTTGTATTTATTTTGTCGTTCTCGTTCTTAACATTCGCCATTGTTGGTTTACAGTCCGTGGTCATATTTGTTGGGCTGACTCGACTTGCGATGCTGAGGTGAATGCGCTAATGTTTTTGAAAGCTGCTCCCCCCGCCCTAATCTGCACTACTAGCTGTCGCCAAATATATTAGC